TTCCTGAGTCTTACCTTTCTCATTTTAAAAGTGAGAATATCAGTGTTTACTTATCCCTTTTTTTTTGTCTTCACCAAGGGACATTTTTTTCATTGCTCTTAAAAAGAGAGCGAGGGAGAGAGAAAGAGAAACATCAATGTCAGAGAGAGAAGCATCAATTGGTTGCCTCCTGTATATACCCAGACTGGGGATTGTACACACTTGGACTAGGGATCAAACCTGCAACCCAGGTATGTGCCCTGACTGAGAACTGAACTTGCAACTTTTGGTTGCAAGACGATGCTCCAACCAATTGAGCTACACCAGCCAGGTCTCCACTTCTTTGAGTGTGAGTTTCTTGGAATCAAGCAAAATAATATCTTTCAAGTACATTGAAAGTATGTTTTCAAATGTAATACATGTCATATTTGAGGACATATGTGGAAACTCAAATATCTTTTTAAAGTGTGCTGAGGTGGCTATTTGTTATTTGTAACTGCCTGCCATCTATATTATCTTGGGTTTGGAAGCAGTAGGCCAGACCTCATTTTCACATGTGACCCAAACAGACCTGGCAGAAGGTCCTTCCCTATAGGGCTGGAGAGCTTCTGTAGTCGGGTTTCCATTCACTCCCAGCCCCAGATCCAAGATCTGTCTGCCCTGAGATTCTTGGCATGGCCGAGTCTGCAATTGCCCCAGAGCCTCTGAATTTCCCAGCTGCACTCTCTGCCTTCCTTTTGTCATCACACAATTGCAACTACTCTCTTTTACACTAAACTGAAATGATACAGCCTTGACCTCTTTCAAATAGGTCATCGCATTGACATTTCCTCAAAGACCCAGGTTCTCCACAGACTCCGGCAGTCTGAGGACAGGAAGGGGAGGCTACTCCACCACTCTCACCCCTGCTGGCTGACTTTTTACATTCTCCTTTCTTCATTCTTCATGGGCTCCTCCGAGCAAGTGGTCCCATGCCCCTTTCATAGCATACATTCTCTTCTTTAACATGCCCAGGAAGAGAGGGGATGATCTCTTAGAAGAAAAGATCAGGAGAAATCAAGAACTTTCTTGGTGTGTTAAGTATTCAATCCAGGAAGGAAGGCTGCAGATGGGATAGAGGTATTGCTACAGGTTCCAGCCTTGGGTCCATCATTTTATGACCTTGGGCAAGTAATTTAACTTCTCTGGGTCTCAACATCAACATCCGTAAATAGAATTCATAAGTTGATTGTTTTAAATAATTAAGAGTGCTATATGTCAAGTCCTTTATAGGTAGCAGACAATTTTAAATGTTGAATAATGAGGCCAATGATAAGAATGAAGAAGCTGGGCTGTGCACTTAGTTTGAACAGTCCTTTTGTTTTGTTTTGTTTCGACTCCAGTAGCGACTGCAGATGGCCTGGAAGCAAATGCTTTTGCACATCAGTGTTGGGTGACCATACCTACCAAGGGAAGAGCCAGGACACAGAGCTGTGGATTGGTAGGATCTTCTGATTTCATGGATCTTTTGTTCTTCTAAAACAAGGAATTTATTTTGTGCCAAAGAGGGTTACGATGAACAGGCTGTGATTGTCCTGCTGGGAAAAATGTTTTTCTTTCTCATTATTCTGTTGCACATGTGTACACACACACACACACACATTTGGGTGAATCAATGTTAACTCCATCACCAGTACAAAAGGCAGGAAGTTGTAGCATTGGTGTGAAAATGACCCATTGTTATCCAATAAAATGCATCATTGTGAACTCGTGCTTCTACAAAATTTTTGCTGTATTGGCTGTGGGGCTCTGTTAAGAGACTAGGAGAAGGGCATATCCTCAATTTTCAGCTTTTATATGTACAGTTTCTGTCGATTTTGATGCCAACCTGGAGAGAAGTCATCTCATGTTTTTCAACTGGGTAAGGCAGGTGCTGCAAAGACCTATCTAAATTTGATAGCAAGGGTGTGTGGTGTAGTGATTAGTGACTTACTCTCTCCACCTCCCCTGATATTTGCCTGGGTCAAACATGTATTGATTTGGGTTGCTGCCTGGCAAGATGGTGCTGTAATTACAGAACAGACACTGTGAGAAGTGTGGCTACTCAGAGAAAGTGCCCAGAGGGATCATTCTTCTGAACTTTAATTGGAGGGTAAGTTAGGGTAGTCAGGAATTTGGGATATGTATATTTTTCTTGGCACAAGATTAGTATTTGAATGGATCTGGGAAGTGAAAGGAGGCTTAGAGATTGAACATGAGGGGTTAGTTATATGGGCTCAGCGTACCCAATATTAAGCCAACAGCTGAGTCCACAAAGGCACAGAACAGGGGGACTTGGAGTCTCAGGTTGAACTTTCTGGTGTGTCTGTGACACTACCTAGACATAATAGCTCGTGTTCCTGACAGATGAGGTGGGCTTTCGATGGTTTTGAAGCTTGGACAAGTTACTTTGCTACTCTGACACTCATTCTTCATTTTTGAAGGTGAGAATATAATACCTACAAGGCAGGCATATCATATGAGAGGAGGGCTTCTACGAGTTATAATAATTCAAAATGCACATAATTCAAGACTAATCCTGAAAGTAAGAGGCAAAGCCTTGATGAAGGCTGGAGGCAGGCTGCCTGAGTTTAAGTTCTACTTTGGCTACTCAACTTTTCCTCAAAATGGGAATAATAATAATAGTCCTACAACATTGGATGTTTTGTGAAAAATAAAGGGGATAATATCTATGAAGTGCTTAGTCAGTGTTCAATAAGTATTAGCTTTCACTCTAATAATTATTATTTTCCAGCAAAAGTAGCACACCTACAAGTTACCAAAGCATAAATACTATTTAAAATTCTCTAGGCTTGTCATTTAAATTCAGCTATTCCTCATACTCTTTAAAATTGGGAGATATTTGCTACATTTGAAGTTTTATAAATAAAGTCAGAATGTGTTGATAACTTTATATTAAATTACTTCAAATTTGCATAATTAAAGTTGGCATAATTTTAATTTCCATAAAATGTAAAAAGCTCTGGATCTCACTGAGTTATTGTGAGCATTAAACACGCTAATGTACATCTGTCTCACTTAGCCCAGGGCCTGGAATTGTTAATAACAATGACCTTCAGGCAGTGAAAACTGAGATTGGACACTTGGGATAATTACTTTTTCCCCATCATGCCTTGCAGTAATTCACCTAATAAATGTCTGTCCTTTTCCATTCTAGCACAGAGCTGGTTTAGGAGCATGAGGGAGAAACTTTGTAATTGTTGCCTACATATTCCTATGTCCAAGAGTATTTCAAGAAAGTACCACAAACTTACAAACTCCATCAGACTCTTCAAAAATCCACTCTGAGGGGTTGCTGATACTTGGGATAATTTCCTTATCTTTACAGCTTGGGCAAAAAGCATGTGAAATTTTAGGTTTTAGGCATAAATATCTTAGTATATGGGAAGTTGGTAAAAAACAAGTCCTCAGAACTCCTGCTTTCTGTATCACACTGACCTGAACAATGTATATAAGTTTTTAGTATAGACTCCAAAGTCAATTTATTCACTGTGGGTAAAAGTTTGTTGAAGTTTGTGCTAGAGACCAAAGGGAGTCTTGATCGTCTTCAACTCCTCCAAATCAAATTGTATGTATGTATGTATGTATGTGCCTATCTATCATGTATTCATTATCCATTCATTCACCTAACTTATGTTAAGACTCTGTGTTAAATGCTATGCTAAGTTCTGGATAAAAAGAGAAATAATGAATGGCTCATAGGCTCTTAACATACACACAGTCCAGTATGGGAGGGACTGATAGTCTGTTCTAATAGAAAGGAATAATAGTGCAGTGATAAGGGATGTTATGAAAGCCAAGGGAGAAATATTTAACTCAGCCTTGGGAACGAAGGCAAGAGAATCGGAAGAAGCTATGTTAGAGCTACTTGGAAAACAAGGACCTCTGAAAGATCCCAGAAAAAACAGATTATTTTTTCACTTACTTTTATTTTTTATTTATTTGATTTTAGAGAAAGGGAGGAAGAGAGAGACATTGATTTGTTGTTCTACTTATTTATACATTCATTAGTTGATTCTTGTATGTGCCCTGACCCTGGGGGTCAAACCTGCAACCTTGGCGTATTGGGATGATGCTCTGACCAACTGAGCTTCCTGGCCGGGGCATAAAACAGATTTTTAAAAATGAACTATCATAGTCAATTTGGTCTATAAGACTTGTCATTGGTAAAAATTAAAACTAAAAAATATACCAAGTCTACAGAGAACCAAACAGTAGCCCACATTCAAGTTCAGATAGCATTTTAAAAATAACTAGACAACACTTTGTGGAAAAATCTAAATAAATAATAACCACTAAATAACAAAATCAAAAGTATAGAGGTAGTGAAAAATAGATTAATTCAGAACCCAATAGTACCTAGAAAAGTCACCAAAATTAAGGTCTGTTTCTTTCTATAATTTTGGTTCTGGAAGTTTAACATGGTTTGTGCAGCTTTGGAAGAAAAGACACTACCCTGGTATTATTTGCTCATTTATTATTCAACAAATATCTTCTGTTTTTCTATCGTGTGCTCTTGCTAGGAACATAGCAATCAGCATGAAAGGTATGCTCAACTGTCAGCAGGGTTACTCAGGACACAAACCACTCACCATATTGTACTAACACAGTAATACAAGGTGTAAGTTGTTCACTTTGGATGTGAAAATAAGGCCCTGGGAGATATAACTCAGGGGCATGTGTAGATGATCCGTGAGTACAAATTGGGTAGAAAAATGGCTGACCCAGTGTAATGAATAAATCATGGTGAGTTGGCAAAGGATACTAACAGGAGGCTGGAAGAAACTTGAGTGAGTTGTCTTCAGATCAGAGCAGCTAAACAAGCTGCTCCTTCACTGTGGTTGGTTTTGTTCTCTGAGAATGGAGAAAGTACAAAGTTGATCAACAGGGAAAGATTCCCAGAAACTTCATTCTGACGTTAAACATCTTGCTTCTGTAAACATACTCTGAACAACAAGGTTCAATATCAAGAAAATTTCCAGATCCTTTTGTACTTTAGTTCATAAGCATGATGATTAAGTATTCACGCTTTTGTGTGAGATATGCCTCCCTGAAATCTTGTTACGTAAATCATTACCCATCTGATGCGGAAAAAAACACTTCCCTTTCTGAAGGGTAGTATGCCCTCTAACAATTTCTGACTTATAATAAACATCCTATTTAAAGACAAACTTAAGCTTGATATTTGATAGCAGAATATACACATCTATATAGTTCTTTTTCCTGGGAACAGTTCTCTTTTATAATTGTTAAAACATCTCTGAAAGTGTTGCCTTCTTCCAAATCTGGAGACACAACAATTTGTATGATTTTTCTGGCCACAGTGAGTGTTTTCCTCCTCCACCCCTTTGTCACAGGGATCTAAAAAGCACTTCAGACTAAAGGATATAATAGAAGACAACCTTGCAAATAAATTTCTGGTGCCATGTTACATTAATACCTTTCAATGACAGCAGAAAGGAGCGGTGTCAGAGTGTAATTTCACTTACAAAGTCAAGCAGAAAATGAATTTCTCATGGTAGGAGTCGGTACTGGAGCATGACTGTTTGGAGGCCGACTTCTGAAATCATGGGAGCCAGTTCAGGGGAGCATTAAATTAGCACCGAAAGGAAAACAATTTGCATCACTGAACTACAATCGAAGTGGGAGTAAATTTTACATGGCATCCAACCTTTCTAAAAGCTCTTTTATAAAAGACAACTTTGAAGCTATTTTAATGCTACACTAAGCCTAATTTTCTGAATCACCATTAGTATCCAATTAATTATCACTAAAGTTTTTAAAAATACATAGGAATATTCCCATTAGTGATGAGAAGGTGATTAATAATGACTGAAAATTGGTATGTACTCCAGGTCCCATACGGTCTATTAGAATGCCAGCCAGAACTGTACCTATGGTTTTCCTATAGCACAAAGAATTCTTTCTGGACACTTCAAGGAGAAGGTCTTGGTCTTTGGGGTCCCTAGTCTCCTGGATAAAAATTTCAACTTTGCCATTTACTGGCCACGTGACCCAAGACAGTTTGCCAAACATTCTGAGCCTCAACTTTCTTATCTGGAAAATGGAAAAAACAAAACTTATTTAAAAAATCCATGAGATGACATGAATAAAATACATGTACTAACATAGTCCCTTACTGACAAATGATGCCTATTTATCTCTTGTGGAATCTTTTCACATATATTATAGGGGTCAGACCTATCCCTTAAAGGGCATTTCAACAGGTTGTTTTGGTCTCCAGGAAGAATGAGGAGAATTGCTTAGAAGGCCTCTCTATTCTCTCAAGGACAGCTCATAAAGAAGTAGAATAAATGATCAAAGTCAAGAGAAAAGAATGTGAAAATAAGATAGATTAAAAATGTAGCACACTAATATTCTCATTAAGATTCATTACTTTGACTATTACAAAATAGACTAATCTTGACCACATAATTTTTACCATGAGTTTGAATGACTATCTTCAAAATTTCTGAATTCTTAAACTGTATTGGTGTCACTAGATTGCAAGGTCCTTTCTTTGTCATCAGCCTGATGTATAGGTTTCCAGATTTCAGCTGTCCTTTTCTGTAACTTTCTTTCCCCACTTGGTTTGACAAAACAGTGTCCAAAGAATTTCAGCTATTTTTGCCTTGTGTTATCTGATTAGGTTGTTTTATTCTCTGTTGCACGTCACAAAATATTGACCAAATTATAGTGGCATCACTGTAATCTGTTCCCCACACAGGCAGTCATGGTGATTTAAAAAGAAAAATCAATGAAAAATCCTGTTTTTTCTCTGTAAAACCTTCAAAGAGATCCTTTAACATTAAAAATAAAGTTCAAACATCTTATTATCCACATGATAGAGCTCCTATTTCTCTCTGACCTCATTACCTTCCACTCTCTCCCTCAGCCACTACATTCCAGCCACAGTGGCCTTTCTCCCCCTAGATTATTTTGCCATGCTCCTTCCAGATTCAGGCCCTCTGCCTCCATGATCTGGAGTGGGCATCCCCAGAGCCTCACGTGGCTGGCTCCTTGTAGCCATTCAGCTTCTAGTGTAAGAGTTTATGCCTCAGAAGGACCTTCTTTTGTCTAAAGGTGGAACTCTCTCCCTTTCATTCTGTTTTATTTTCCTCTTATGCTGAATCAAGATACAAACTTATTCAACCTATTTGCTCATTTTCTTTAGACTTTCTGTCCTTAGTCTCCCTTTCCCCATTAAAATGCAAGTTCTTCCTACCTGGAACAGTGCGTGCTGCTTATGCAATGAGTGAATAAAATGAATGATTTTGTTTTCTTTCTATTGTAAAGCATTCTTGTTAGTGTTTTTTGTCTTGGAAGGACTGGTTCATAAACACTCGAATCAAAAATTGTTTAGTAGAAGAATAAAAAACTGAAGAGCTACCCAAAATTTGTCCTTTACTCCCCAAGGAATAGTAAAAAGACCCCAAAGAAATAGTAAAAAGGATTTGAATTCTAGTCAATGACCTGGTATGAATTATCTGTGATACCTCTGGCAGGTCACCTCTCTGTGTCTTTGTTTCTTCACGTACCAGTGAAGAACTAGAAAATTTCTAAGATGTCTTCTACTTCCAATATTTTATAATTATTAATGGAAATACTAGATCTGATATTATGGTAAATGTTTATGAAATTTTACAGGGGGTTGAAGTTAATGGACAGATAAGCTATTGAAATCTCTGAACTTGGTTTTAGGCTTATGGCATAGGAGTTTCTAAGAAATTCCTTAGTTCCAGAATGGAAAACTAAGGGATTCCAGGGGGGAATCCCTTCCTTCTTCTGCCTGGCAGAGACAACAAGACTTCAGAGTTAATATTTGCAACCTACCAGATAGAAATGTGATGGAGAGCCATAATGTTTACATAGGATGTATGCTAAACCATGAGATTATAAAAGCAAACTCTCTGGCTGTGCTCTAGTATTATATTGATAGATTTATAAAAAGTTGTGAACAGTGCTGGTACATTCTATAAGACCTGGGTTCTAGTTTCACTCTTACTGGTAATTAGTTGTATGTCCTTAGTTATTTAAGGCTGTAGTGAACTCATTTTTGAAATAATCCCCCAGGTCCCATACAGTTCCTGAAATTATGATTCTGTCTTTAAATTTTCTGAGTTTATATCTACTATAAGAAAACTTCATTTAGACATATCCCTAAAAATCTACAAAAGTGAAAAATTGGTAAAAATATAAGTCACCATATAATTCTTAGGGAAGAAGTGTTATCTTAATGGTGCTCATTAACCATACCATCCTTCTTCAGGGTTGTGGCGGACCCTGGCCAGCAGAGTCCGCCTGTTGTGGCTGACAATGAGAATGAATGCACAGGCAACAACAATCCTGTGTGGAAAAAGGGAACAGGCACGACTACTCTCTCAAGGGGAGAGTGCCTATGGTGCCTCGGCTACTCCCTCAAGAGGGGAGTGCCCCGACCCTTGCCTAGACAGGCTTTTATTGTTTTCCTGGGGTCTTACATCAGAGAAAGATTTATTATCCATTACATAGAATATTATTGTTTACATTTTAGGTACAATCAAGAAAATGAAAATAACATGCAGAGGGGTATGACGATGAGCTCATTAGCTCTGTGCTTGAGAGAACTCATACAGGCTTTGGAAATTACCTTGAAGATAGACAATACACATTTGTTGTTTTAGACCAGGGTGATGGAGTTTTAACAAGAGCAAGCCATTACAGTCTGTAAGTATTTTCTAGGCCTGATTCCCATGGGAAAACTCGGTTTGTAGATCTGGCTCCTGCCCACCGCTTTGCTTCTGTAGGTTTTCTGTACAGAGCTGAGTCACATTTGCCAGACTTAAACAAACCAGTCCCCTACACAGGGTGGTGGAGAGTTTCAGATGAAGAGAAAGATTATAGCAGGTATTTCTTCCTGCCTCTTATGAGGGGAAATTTAGCACGAGACAGCCAGCATTTTCAGGATCATTACTATGGACCATTGTACAGTGATCTGTATAAAATGAGTTGGTTATTGGTCTATGGAGTGATCTCTCATGTAAAGCAAAGACTCCAAAGAACAATAGTGTCCAAACTGGGAAACCTATACTCTTAAAAAATCAATATACCTCCAGCTTTATGATGGAACCAGCAGGAGTCCACTGACCATTGCAAGTGATGTGAAGTGATTGGGTTACAATTCTAACCCTTTCCAGACACCTGAAAAAAAGTATTTGAGTTTTTCTTTTACAAATTTTTATTTTTTAAATAAGGAACTTTTCAAAGCGTATCTTAGTTTTTGTTACCATCTTTTCTGTTTGCATCTCCTTTTCTTCTTTCCCATCTCCTGTTTAAATAAAGATTTCTATATTGTCCAATTTCTAGCTCCATTTCATTTCTTATTTCGAAGATTGTTTTTGTGATGAAACCAATTTTGTGTTGGTTATCCTTAAATTTTCATTCCTAGATTCATGGAAAAATATATTTAAAATTATACCTTTAGAGCATCAAGACACTAGCATCCTGTGTATGTGTGTATGAGCGTGCTTGTGAGGGTTTTAATAGTCAAGGAAACAGTAGAGTTAGATTTGAAAATGGAATTTCAATGCATTTCTCAATATTGTGATTAAGAATGACTTATAAGAAAGATAGAGCCTTTGGTTATCTTTAAATATATTGTCAATAATTCTAAAAGGTAAGTCTCTGAGTCCAAGCTTTTATTTAACATCTAGCGTGTTAAACTAATTGATTGTCTTGGATAACTAATTAGTAGCTGCTGTGATTATCTATTGCTGTGCAACCAATCAAAATCTAATGGCTTAAAAAGACTGTTTCTTTAGGCTCATGAATCTGCTACACTTGCTAAATTTGACTGGTTGCATTTGTTGCCTGCTGTGGGTTTTAGTAGGTGTTACTCTTTGACTTTGGCATGTACACATTATGCCTACTTTGAAGTTTCTTATAGGGAAACATTTCTCTTAAAACTTTACACAATGCCGATGCATCTGCTACCTGATTCCTGATATTACCACGTGACTTTCTCAGTGCAGATATATCTCACAGTGATGGTGAGGGTCTCTCCTTGGCGTGTGTTCTTTCCATTGGCATGTTTAAGTACAAGATGGCT